GACCGAGATCAGGGCCCCGTCATGGCAGGCACTGCCCAGACTCTGACTGACATCACAGCCCATCATGCTGGGCACTGCAGACACACAATGAGAGTGCTTGACACAGAGATTACTACCAAAGCAGACAAAGGCAGGAGATTTACACCCCATAGTACAGACAGGCGCTGCGGCCCAGTGAGAATCAGTGACTGGCAAAGTCACACACCAATTCATTGGCCAGGAACTGAACCCCGCTCTCCCAAGCCTCAGCCCAGTGCCTTAACCACCAGGGCATCCTGCATGATCTTCCCTCTTTGGATTCCTGTTCCATTAACGGGCAGCACACTCGTTTGCGCTTGTATTTCCTACTTGTTCCACCTTTGGTTCGGATGCAGCTTGAAATGCTTAGCTGCAGCTGTACACAGACAGGGGCTTTTCCCCTACGGTGTCTTTAAAGGGGAGTTATTTTATGGGGAGATTTAATTTCTACCCACGTTATCTGGTGACCTATATAGATGCCACCACAGAATTTAATGCATTCTCTCCTCTCTCTGTGCCGTCCAGCTGCTGTGTCTTGCCTCAGACTTTTTATGAAGATCTGACTGTTGCATCCCCTCACTGCAGGCAGGTGCTCTCTTTCCTGGACCTAGTGTGAAAAGGTCGAGCTCACCTGCTTGCTGCTCACTCCCTAATCTGTGGTGCTAATAAAAGCACTGCTGTTGGATTTATCCTGAACCAAAATGAAAAATCATCTATTTGCACCATTTTAGTGTAAAACAGTACTTTAAAAAGCACCTGGACAGTTTTGCCCCAGCTAATAAATGAATACAGCAGCATTTCTATGACGCCCTGGGGTGCATGTGCGTGATGGGGTGTACAAACCCCATGCTGGAGAACAAGGGGTTAGGACACAGCTCTGGGCCCAGGCGGTCCCACCAGGTACAGCCACACCTGCAAAGCCTGCACAAGCCGGAAGTAGGGCTTAAAAGGCCCTGGAAGGGAACGGTTTGTTGCTCTGACCTGGAGGGGTGGGGGCAGAGGGCTGCCCATGAGCTCACTGACTGAGACCGGACCACAAAGACCTTAGCAAATCTACAAGGGGAGGCAGGGGACTGTGCAGATCAGAACCTTGATTTGAGATTCTTTGATTTACTCTGTGGGGAAGAAGGAGATTTGGGTAGGAAGTGGTCCCAGGGAGCAGCTGCTTAGCACCCCATGGTGCAGAGCGTAGCTGGCCACCATTGGGCCTTGGACCACAGCCCGGTGGAGAGGGTGGGGGTCTGGGCTCCCCTACCCCCTCCAAGAAGATGTGACAACAACAGGGGCTTCACTTTCGTGGAGAACCCAGCAGGGGAAGACTCTGATTGGTCAAGGGCCCAGGCCCCAAAGTCCCCATGCGAAAGGGAAGGACTAGAAAGCCGGGGCGGGGGAGTGCTGAAGAACAGTACTATACTGTATTTCAGGGGTGGGCAAACTATGGCCCGCGGGTCACATCCAGCCCATCAGACCATTTAATGTGGCCCTCAGCTCCCGCCAGGGAGTGGGGTCAGGGGTTTGCCCCGCTCCGGGCGGCTCCCAGGAAGCAGCCGACATGACCCCCCTCTGACTCATACGTAGTACACGGAGGTGTGGCCAGGCGGCTCTGCACACTGCCCCGTCCGCAGGTGCCACCCCTGCAGCTCCCATTGGCCGTGGTTCCCAGCCAATGGGAGCTCCCATTGGCCGTGGTTTCCAGCCAATGGGAGCTGCAGGGGTGGTGCCTGCGGACAGGGCAGCGTGCAGAGCTGCCTGGTCGCACCTTGGAGCCAGAGGGGGGACATGCTTCCAGGAGCTGCTTGCGGTAGGCACCGCCCAAAGCCTGCTCCCCTGAAGCCCCCCCATGCCACAGCCCTGATCCCCCTCCCACCCTCCAAAACCCTTGATCCCAGCCCAGAGCCTGCTCCTGCACCTCAAACCCCTCATCCCCAGCCCCACCCCAGAGCCCGCATCCCCAGCCAGAGCCCTCTTCCCCTCCCCATGCTCCAACAGCCTGCCCCATCCCTGATCTCTCTCCTGCCCTCCGAAACCCTTGATCCCAGCCCAAAGCCCCCTCCTGCACCACCAACCCCTCATCCCCAGCCCCACCCCAGACATTTTTAGGTTCTGATCTTACAGAGATCCTCTGCTTGGATCCATCTGTCTCTGTAGAACCTCACTGGGACTCTGCACAGGTGGATTCCTTCGCAAGGTCAGGGGCCAAGGGTGGAATTTTTACACATTCAGCATTTTAAGGATGTCCCTCCTGCACCAGTGCAGGGCACACTGTGTTGTCATCATTTGTTCAAATTAAGACAGAAAACTCAACCTTTTTCGGAGGAACATTTTTATAAAAAACACTGTTTTTTCATGCCAAGTGCCAGCGAGAGGGGGGCAGGAACCTGTGGCGGCAGACACAGCGAGGTGCTTCAGTTCCACACCCTCTCATTGCTCAGGCACAGCAGAAGGATTTTGCTCAAACTTTCCAAACCAAGTCACCTCTGGATGGAGCCTGGGAAGCTCATCCACTAAGGTCTGATGGTGAAAATGATACATGCGTCTCCATGGCTGCACAGATCCATCCTGCTCCAATACCTCGGGTGCAACGTAGTAATACTACCTAGTACTTACCTGGCATGTTTCACCCCCAAAGTGGCTCATGCACATGGCCAGGCAAGCAAAGGAGGCATAGTGCAGTACACAGAACAGAGGGGAAATGGTCCACATGCTCCACTGCAGGCACAATTGGCAACTTCAAAATGTGGGCCCCCTTGTGTGCACTCACAAAACGAATTACAGGTGGAAATCAAGTCCCTGTGCACTCAATTGCTGGCTTGTGCCCACAGCCAGGTCAGAAGTACAAATATGCACATTTGTCTCTGAGGCTCAAAAAGTGAAGGAATAAATTACTCCAAGGACAAGCAGGCGGCCCGGTGGAAATGCCCTCCATGAAGCAACAGACCATTCATTGTCTCCCGGTGTCACAGTGGCTCCTGTGGAGCAGCATGCCCGACAGACGTGCGCTACAGACTATTCACAACACATGTTGAATACCTGCTGTCACTCCAACGCAACAGGGCTTTCTGCTCCCGAAAAGCTGGAGTGAGACAGGCGCATTTTATCATCATCACTCGACCTTTTTCTGGGAGAAGCTTTTTCTGAGGAGCATTTTAATAAAAAGCTGGAAATATCCAGTCAAGCAATGGCCTGTCGCTGGGAATCTGTACAGAGAGCAAACTGATTCTGCAGACTGCTCTCTGCTGGAGCATGGCCTGGGCCTGGTGTGTCCATAGTTTGCATAACAGGATTCCTCTCCTGCTTGCTGGGTGCTCTGCTCCCCTTGGCGAACTGTCGTTTACTAAGACCACATTAAAAATACCATACAAGAAAAGGAAACGAAACAAGATAAACTAAATCAGACTTGGGCTAGACGACAAGGAAATAATTTATTTCCAGGTCCTAAAGAGACCTTGACAAAATAACAAGGATGAGAAAATCAACCTCCTGATTTTGTTTGGATAGAGGGAAAAAAGCAAAGTGATGCCATCAAACACCCAAAGAGTCTGCCAGCTCCTTCCTGTAGGGGGTGCTCATGAGCACAGTGTGGTGTGGGAGTGAAGCCAGCAGTGTTGCCTGGGCACCTCTGCAACCCGATCCCAGACAGGAGCTGAGCTGGGCTGCTCCAGACCATTGCATTTACAGATGGAATTAAAAATAAAAATGCAGAAGAGGTTGTGTGTGTTGGGGAGGGGTTGGCTGGTGCAGGATGCACAATTGGAAGCCAGTTTGGTAATTCAGAATACATACCCTGTAAGACTGCATCCTCTGCTAGACAATCCCTGGCAATTGCATGAGGCCCTTCCTAAAGCAAAGGCCAGTTCAGCAGGGGATTGGGCAGAGTGGTTCATTGTCCCAGAGGGAAAACACAAAAAAGTTCCTGAGGAAAGAGAGGCCTTTCTCCATTCTCTTACTCCTGAATTGGTGGCATTGTCTGGGAGTGACTGAGCATGCTCAAAGGCAGTGCTTTGGGGGTGGGAGGAACAGCTACCCGAGTAAAGCCTGTCTGACTGCCTGGTAAATGAAACAGGCCATTTATCTGGCTGCTTCTCTAAAATCAGTGGGGAAAAATCACAGTAAAGGACTAACAGACAACGTGTGGCATCCAGGACATGAGAGACTTGCACAGATACCAAGATAGGGGCGGCTCCCCCAGCCTTTGCAGCCATACTGAGACCCAGAGAGATGAGCAACTCTGCTTGTTCAAAGTTTAAATGCTGAATTCTGGCTGGCTTGGGAGAGTCTCCCAAAAAACACCTGAGTTGGGGACTCAGATGCTCAACAGCACGTGAGCCTTGAGTGGCTGCAGCAGGGGAGGGGGAACCTGTTGTCGCAGGAACAACAGGCAGAGACTATTATTTTTCTAACATGTCCTTCTAGCCCCCTCCGTACCACAGCATGGGGCTTTCTCTGCAGCTCAGGGCAATACAAACGGCTGGAAAACAGACCACAATAGAAAATGAACATGCACATACATTTATATTCAAACACAGTCTCCAAGGAATTGGCAACTGGGATAGAAAACACTGACTGTGGCTAGGCTAAGGGGACAAACCCAATGACTATGACAAGCCCCTTATCAGTTATGTATCAATTACGACATTGATTTTTCCCATATCAGCAGATAAGCTGCTGTAGCCGAGCTACACAGGAAGCTGCTTGTGTGCCCTGCTGAACAGGGCTCCAAAACGTTAGCTGGGATTTCACTGATCTGAAGATGTCCCTGCGATACTCAGCATGTCCCTCAAATGCCATTTTGTGGACCGCGGCATTCGGGCAGCCAGTGCTTTCCCACCTCATTGACCCCAGTTCTCACCCTCCAGCACTGCTCTTTGCCGGGAAGCTCCGAATTAACCGTACTATGTTTCCTGGTACTACATTGTGCTCGTACTTGACCACCCCCTTGGGGGACCGATGGCTCACACTCTCTGGTAATTTTTCCTAGAGCCCCCTGCTCGCCCTGAAATATAAACAGAACTCTTCTGCCAGCAGTTTCTGTGGAAACCTGAAGGGACTTTCACTCTAGGGCAAACTTGCAAAAATAAATAAATAAATAAATAAATAAATAAGTTGGGTTTGGGGGATTGCATGGCTTGGCTTTGCTGATGGCGCGTGGTGTCTGGCACCTCCACAAGGCCTGCTCCCAGAGCTGGGGTGGACTTGTCATCGAAGGCTGTGATCGACTGACCGATATTCAGTGGCTGAGGTGAAATGAGTTGTTAGTGTTGTCAGGCCTGTGCCTGCTGGAAAGTGCATCCACCTCACACCCACAAACGCAGCTGGCACTACTTGGCACTCTTGTTGGTTGCAGAATGTGGCTCAAGAACTGAATAGGCCAAAGAGGCTCACTCACTTCTCAGCCATCCAGGCTACCTCGTTTGGGGAGGCTGCAGCAGGCTGGCTGAAGTGCTGTGCCTGTGAGAGCATACACTGCAACCCATACGAACCTGAGACCTCAGGCCCTGGGGCTGGCTGAGAACTTCCCACAGAAAGCGCTATCCTTTAGGGATGCGCTGCATTCCCTCTACTGTTACCTCTACGACATGGGCTCAGAGAGCTTCCTCCTTCACATTTCAGCATCACTGCCCACAGTCCAGCCACATAGTCATAATCCCGTATTAGTGATATCACAGTTTGTTGCCATGGGGATCATTGGGATGCCAGAACCTCAGAACAATGACTTCACTGTGGATTAAGCAGGAGGGGTAGATGTTGGCATAAACATAAATATCTGTGATACATGGCAAAAATGGACAGGAAAATTCTAATAAAAACCATGAGGTGAAACCCAAGCCCAGTTCGGAAGCAAAGTATGTTTGACCCTAGTGTAAAAACTTCTCTTTAAAGGACCTGACCTAAGAACTAGCACCCAGGACCTCCAAAACGCAGCAAATGTAAACTGCTCCACTGATTGTAAGCAGCTGGGATCCTGCACAGAAACACCAGCTCGCCACAACTAGAGGAACTGAAATACAAGGAAAGAAGAAAGAGACTCAGAAAAATCAGTAAATATAAGGGGGAGAAAAACAGAACAAAAGTTAAAAGCTTGTTTCGCTCTGCAAGGAAAGCTCTTAAAAAAATCAAAGCACATCAGATGCTCTGAATCAAGTGACAAAAACAATTTAGACAACAAAAGGCTCCTCTTTCTTTCTTCCTCTCCTTAACCGGGCTCATTGAACAGATCGATTTAAATGATAATTTGTGGGGGGGAAATCCCATCCGAATTTTCTTGAATTAGATTTTCTCTTTCTTAAATTAACATGGAGTGCTTTAATGGAGATTGCTATGAAAGCGATTAGGATGGTAACAACAGCTCCTTTGGGCACTTCAGCCTCGCTATGTGTGTGCTACAGAGCCTCTAATAAGAGGCGGCTAACGAAGAGCACATCATAAAGCCATCACTCGCCCTGTCCAAAATGGTCCTTGATGTCTCTCCTTCCATGCCAGGGTGCGTGGTGGAGGGACTCTGCTATCTGGACGACATATTGTCCTTATTGTTTGACCTGAGCTTGCTTCCGCAGCAGCCCTCGAAGACATGGGAAGCCTGGAGAATCCCCAAGTTCGGAAATCATTCTCTCCGTCTCGTTGTGGGTTTTTGGTTAATTGTGGCTAGGATTCTTCGCTCTCCTCCTCACCTTTATGCCCGGCATAGAGAGCCGCCAGCTGCCGGAAGCGCGGCCCCCAGCTGCTCAGATAGGAGAAGTCCTGTTCTGAGCTGGTGGACCAGGTGTTGATGGAGCTCAAGGACGGGACAGGGGAGTCTGAGCCCTCGAAGGCGTAGGTTTGGAACGAGTCGTATGGTGGGACAGACAGATCCTTGTCCGCCTGATCCACCTTCCTGCTGATGTAGTCTCTGAACATGGAGAAGTCCAGGTCTGGGTTCTGGAACCACTGTGGGAGGGCATGGAGCTCGGAGGGCAAGTTACTAGTCATGCCCCCGTCTCCCGGCCCTCCCCCGCCGTCGCTGCCTTTGAGCTCACTGAAGTCATACAGGCTGCGTAGGGCTGACATGTCGTAGGCCTCGGTGTCCTGCTCCCCACCTCCCTCATCGTTGTACTTGATGACATTGTCCCTCATGTCCTCATCCTCCTCTGACGTCAGATGGCTCTTGTGGTGTCGCTTCAGAGTGAGGATTAGGAGAACCAGCACTGGAGAGGGAAAGAGACGTCAGTGGGGCAGCACGCCTGGGAGACGAGCTGGGGAGAGGGCAGAGAGTGAGCGTGAACGGCTCCCTCTCTAGCAGTGGAGGGGCTGCCTGCATTCAGGGCTGGTGTGCAGGGCAAGGGACATGGCGCCCAAATGGCCCATTCATGGCGGAAGAACATGCCCCCAGGGAGGGAAGACCAGAGCTGCAGCCCTCTTGGCTGGTGGGAATTGGCGTCACTGGCCAGTTCGCCAGCTGAGGGCCAGGCCCATAGCGACGACATTCTGCTGTCGCTGTCCCTGGGTCCCCAGTGGGGGACAGTGCAGGCTGGAGCTAGTGCTGGTCTCTGTGGTGTGTGCCAGAGAACTGGGGCAGCTGCATTCTCCATAGCCACCAGGGCACTCACCCCCCAGGAGGGGAAAGTGCAACAGAGATGGAAGGATGGGTTCTGAGAGAGACAAGGAGAAAAGGGGGAGCAGGGCATGGCAGCAGCAGAATGGCTGGAGGGTGATTCTGGAGCAGATGGCACAGAGTGGGAGCAGCAAGATGCAGATGAGTCCTGGATTATCAGCTATTCATCCCATCACCTTTAGCGCACTGATGTGCACTTTATTTGTTTGTGGGCAATTAGGCAGAAATTTGTTTGCACTGCGTTGGAAAATGAAACCGATGTAAAGTGCACCCTGTGGAAAGGGTTTTCTAAAGAGAGACTTCTCCAGCAATGCCCGGGGTCCTGCATGTTCCCTGACAATGCTCAGCCAGCAGGGACACCGCAGGGTGGGAAGTGACTCTGTTGATCATCTCCGTTATTTTAAACATGAGCTCCTCCCTTGACATGTGCAAACAGGCCTGTGTGTGGCGGCCTCCCTCTGCCCAGACCCAGTCTGTGCCTGCCCAAACAAGGGAGGAGGCACGCTATGTGGAGGGATCTTCCTGCCCCATGTAATCACTGCCATCCCCAGAACAGGTCTCAGCCAGACCCAGTGTCACAGGAGCCGATGACACTCCCAGGCATGGAGCCTAACGCTCAGGGAACAATTGATCAGTCAGACCAACGGGAGAGGCGGGGGCTCCTACGTATCAGAGTCATGACAGGGACTCGGACAACAATCATATTCCTTGTTTATTTAGACTTTAATGCTGACCCACCCCCACAAGGCCTTTCACTAGACAACATCTTGCTGTGTCCAAGTCTCCTGTCACTGTTACCTTCCCTGGCTTCCTCTGTGTGCTTGGGACCCTGCTTGTCTTCAGTTCAACTGTGAGCAACTCAGGGCAGGGCTCAGCTCTGGGCGTCATTGCAACAGAAACACTGTCCCTTCTCTGCATAAGGAGCTCTCTGAGATGCCAGCACAAGGGGTGTTAAAAAACCGGCTAGCACAACACTCCAGCTTTTGCCTGTGTGTCACGTGGTCACGCAGGATGCTGGTCCATCTGCAGGTGGCTTGGGACACTTCCATAAACCAAGTTCTGGAGGCTCTCGGACTTGGCATGGAATGGGCTCCATGCACGGAGGCTTCTCTGGATGGAGGGTTCCTGTCTGAAATCAGCTCGGGCAGGCTTCTCCCTGCAGGACAGGTGAATTTACTGCCTCTCCTGCTCTGCAGAAAACCATCAAGGAGTCAGGTGGCAAAGGTGAGAAGCTGCTGTCGGACCGGTGCCAAACAGCAGGGACATTCCAGCCCAGAGACAGCTGCACTCACTGATGTGTTTGTGAGAGGATAGGAGAAAGAGAAGAGAGATGTAGGGGAGGGAGGAGGGAGGAGAGGAAGAGCACGGCTAAAGAGAGGCAGGCTGGGACACTCACCGATCAGGATGAGGATGCAAACCAAGAGTGCGATGAGAGCGCCGGGGCTCAGCGTTGCAGACATGACGTAGGCTGTACTGTTACAGGACTGGATGGCCCCTGTGCTGTCACAACCACACACCCGGATGGTCAGAGTCCCCGTGCTGCTCAGGGCGGGAGGCCCACTGTCCACCACCAGAATGGGAAGGAAGTAAATGTCCTGCTCCTGGCGGTTAAAGCCCACTCTCCGCGTGTGCACCGCGGCCGTGTTGTCTGGAGAGAGCAAGAAACCCACAAGCAGTGTCACCGCCAGTGCCCACAGAAAGCTTCACCAAACAGCCCCGGCCCCTTACTGCCAGCATGAGAGAAACATGCCATCCCAACCGCCCTCCTCACCATGCTGCTCCTCCCACGCTTCCTCTGGCTCTGCCACTGGAAGAAGCAGCAATGCCTCCAACCCACCAGTGGGCCTGACATGCATTCTCAAACATGTATAGCAGGTGCCTATGCACCCAGCTGGCATGAACACTCCCACAGGAGCTGGCCTCTTCAGACTGCACTGAAAATACGGCTTGGGAGTCTGGTTTGCCTGAATCCCCACCCAAGCCCAATGGCCTGTGGCAGTCTGGGGCAGCTCCCTAAACCAAGTGCATGGCACAAAAGTGAGACTAATGGTGACAGGGAGATGGGAGGCAGCAGCAGCACATGGGTATCAAACACTCGGGTAAATAACACACGGAAAGCAGAGGAAGCACAAACATTTTCAGAAAATCTTCTGATCGCTCCAGTGTCCATGCCGAGGTTCTCCTGGAGCAAGCTGCCAGGCCTCAGACGCTGAGAGGGGATCAAAGACCGTCACAAGATCAGAGATACAGCTCCTGGGCCAACTAGCTCAGCCCCTGAGCCAGGCAGGACTCGAGGGACGCCAGCTGCAGTCTGAAACACTGTTTTCCTTGTCTCCATGTGTCAACATGCACCTGGAGCCATGGGCCAGGTCTACTGAGAGATCCCAAGGCCAGAAGGGGCCATTGTGAGCGTCTGGTCTGACCTTCTGCGTAACACAGGCCAAAGAACTGCCCCAGAACGATTTCTAGAGCAGACCTAGGTCTTAGTCTGAGGTTCGGGGCCACCTCCGAACTTCCTAAGGGGCAGGAGGAACTCTTTGTAAGCTTCCAGCCTGTCATGTTTTCTGCCACCCCAGCCTCAAGGTGCTTTAACAATATTTTAAAAACTCAATCCATACCGAGGAGAACAGAGAGTAACGACCAGCCCCCAGGCAAAGAGCAGCCAGATGCTGTAACACCAGCTGCTTACTGGGCACCGACACTGACCTGGAAACTGGGAGAGTGATTCTAGCTCATAATCCAGGCTACCTGGAGCAACAGGACTGGGGAAAGGGGATGAGGGACAGCATGGCTGCCTTTCCCCACTTCTGGAGAGTCCTGACCACGGGAAAGCAGCAGAGAGGAAATACAGGGGGAGGACCTGCACTACCAATGGAAGAATTGTAACCAAATGTCAGAAGTGGCTGCTGAATCTGCCTGCCCTCTTTACTGAAATGTAAATGGCCCACTGACAGCAGGGTGGGCTGCTGCATGCAAACTCCCTCCCCATCCCAGCTGATGTATGCTGGCCTGGCCCCTTTCTGTACCAATCAGCTTTTCGATCGGCAAAGACATCTGCTCTAATTGTGGCCGTTATGGAAATGGGCATGTGGACTGGGAGCTGTGCGGGCTGAGAAGTCACTGACGGGGCAGCACGCTGTGCGAGTCAGGGTCGATGTGCTGGCCATGCAAAGACCAGGAAGTCAGGAGTCCATGGAGCTTGGTGTTGTTCCTGCTTTGAGCAGGGGGTTGGACTAGGTGACCTCCTGAGGTCTCGTCCAAGCCTGATATTCTATGATTCTATGAGCTGTGGGCATGGCAAAGGCCTATAACCAGGAGATCGGGATAGGCCTTAGAGAAGTTGTGAAAGAGCAAGAGGAGCACAATGGAAACAAACCAATGGGCAGAGAACATTATGGCAAGGGCAGAACCCACCAGCAGCCAGGGGCCGATTTCCGTCCTGATCCGGCGGTGCAATGGGGCCAGAAACAAGAGAATCTGGCCCCATGGGAACTGCCCCAGAGTAGGGGGAATTCTTGGGTTGCACAGAGCTGGTCCAGTGACTCTACCGCTCCCCTTGGCAGGCCTGGGAGTAGTTGGGGAAAATGAGGCATGGCAGGACTATCTCAATGTTCCAGCTCTTCTTGGGATGCTGGAATAGCCCCTTGCTTAGGTAGAGGCTGGAGAAGCCAAGGCTGCTCTAACTTACACCAGGGACTATCGGAGCCGCGAAAGTGGAGCAAAGTCCTGTGCTGAGCAGTTCGGTCACACCCAAGAACTGGGGTCACGGCTCACCCTGCCACTGTCCTGATGTGTGTCAAGCCATCACTTAGTCACACACACTTTGGCCTGAACACTTTGTAGCAAGGTCCCTGTTTTCCAGGGCTTGGTCTCCAGAGTCAGACTCTGCAGCAGACTCAGGTACATTATGAGGTTTTTATTGACTAAATACACCAATGCTGGAAGCAGTCAGCACAGCTTCCCTTCTGGCACGTCTTGGGATATTCTGCGCCTCTCTCGTCACTTCCCTATTGAGGGCGGGTGACTTCCACAACTCGTACTCCTACTCTGCCTGTTGTGCAGGCTGGTCGCCCCCGTGGTCGTCTTCCATCCAGAATAACTGCAAGCGCCAGCTTACCGATCTAGCTCTCGCGTCTCATAGCCTAGCCTCACATCCCCCACATCGTTCTTAACTGGAGCAACCCGCACTAGGCCCCGTACAACCCCATTTCATTTCCTGTCACTGCGTCCAACTACTCGACCATGTCAACATCTTCATCTCCATTGCGGCGACATACTGATTTCCTTTCCTGGGGGTGCCCAAGTCGCTGTTCAGTACATGACGATGGGCTGAATTACAGTTTTATGCACTCTGCCTTTTAACTTTATTGGTATCTTTTTGTCACAGAGAACTGGGGTTGTTGGGATCCACTAGGCATAGCTACCAGGTAACTCGGGAGAGCGGAAGGCCAAAGTGTCGATGAAACTCTTTTGCTTTGGGCCTATCTGAAACCCCCAGACTCCATCTTGTGAACTCTCATCTACTTCTGTGCTAACTGCTTACATGTTAAAGTAGAAATGTATTGGTCAGTGTTTCTAGCAGATGGCTGCAGTTTCACTCACTCTAGCAGAAATAATAGAGATAAGGAGGGAACAGAGAGATAGTTAGTTTGTAGCTGTTTTCCCATATATCCCCAAGGTATTTAGTGCAAAGGGTCAAGGAACGTACCGTGTTCTCCCTTCAAAATGACAAATGTATCCGCAACAGATGTCTCTTGTATCCCCTTCCCCAAAATAATATGTATTCTGTGTAACCTGTTATCTATTGGTCAGCATAATGACGTAAAAAGGATGAGAACTGAGTTGTTTGTTACTGATTATAAAAAGGGCCTATGTCGCCCATGTAAGGTGTGTCTCCTCTGGCACGAGCCGAGGTGCACCCTCTCAGCTGACTGACAAATAAAGAACCTGGTACCTGTCTTTATGTCTCTCCGTGCCTCCTTGGTGTAATTAGGTAAGCTCCGGGGGGAAACGAGCCCTATTTGGCTAACAGGGTCAGCCCCCACCACGCTCACCACGCAGCTTTGGTTTTGTTCCAAGTATCACTCAGGAGGTCACCATCAGCAGCAACCACTGACCCCGGTATTTAAATACTTTCACGCTTCTAGGCAATCGGCCTGTGATGTCCTTTATGGTGAGTCCTCCTCCTGCAGTTAGCACAGCCGGTCTTACCAGCCTTCACTCTAAGCCCAGCCCACTCACAACTACGTTGCCACTGTTCAAAGTTGGCTTGTAGGGTCTCACAATCTTCCGCACACATCTCTGAGTCCTCAGCGAACAGCATGTTCCCAAGCAGCTAGCTCCCTTCCTATCTTCTCATTTATCACGTCCATGACAGGCACAAACTGAAAGGGGCGCAACGCTGACCCCTGAGCTCCAGTACTTACTGGAAATTCTCTCCTGTAGCCCCTGTTAGTTTGGACCAGGCCAGTCCCACCACTGTACATATCCGGGGTAAGACAAAAGTACCTTCTGGCACACTGGCTCTTGCGAACTCCACCAGGCTGGTTTTGTTGGTAGACAATCATACGCCTTTTCCAGGCCCACAAAGACCATACCCAGCTGCTGTCTCTTCTCTGAACTTCTCCATGAGTATTTGTAGCACAAATTCAGCATCAGATGTGCTTCTTCCCGACATGAATCCATATGGACTGTTCCAAATTTAAACCATTCCACAGAGACGCTTTTCAAAAGCCTTCTACCACACCTTTATAGCATGTGACATCAGCTTAAGTGGGGGATAACAACACACACAGTGTAATATCTCCTTTATGTTTAAAAACAGGCAACACAAAGCTTTGATGCCATTCACCTGGCGTTTTCCCTTTCTTCAGGGAGATTGCCCCCCGTTATCAGTTTGCCACAGTTCTCTGTATTACCAGCGGATAACTGCACTGCAGACATTGTCAGGGGAACCAGAGGCTTTGGCACCTGGGCAGGGGGCAGCTGGGATGTCCAGCACATGGGAAACAGGAAAAAGGCATCTCCTCTTCTCCTTAGGGCACAGAACCTGCTTTAAAGAGCTCACTCTCACTCCGAATGCGAAACACAGGGCAACAGATTAGCTAGTTACCCATATAGCACATGCCATAATGCTGATGTTAGTCTCAACTCAGACAGGGCCAACGTTCACAGGGATTCCTTTGAATAGACACCACACAGACAGATACTGATTTTTTAACCATGTTTCAACATATTATAATTTCCCCTAGGATATGTCATCCATGTGTCCATGTGAGTGACAAGGTGGGTGAGGCCTCCCTGCAATTGAGCCCCGCGAGCCTGGATCAGTGGCCGTGGCCGAGCAACCAGGTCTTTCATTGTGGTGTAGACGCACCCTTTGCGACTCACGTGCCATGAGCTTCGTAATTCTCAAGTTGTTGCTCTTGTGGGATGGCCAGCCTCAGGGTATGTTACACTGCAATGGGGCTGGCCTGGGTCAGCTGGCTTGGGCTGCAGGCTATTAAATTGCAGTGTAGACCTTGCAACTCAGGCTGGAGCTGGGCTCAGAGGTCGCATGGGCGGGCGGGTGTCTCAGAGCCTGGGGTTCCAACGTGAGCCCCAATGCCTACACTGCTATTTTATAGCCCCACAGCCCAAACACCATGA